CGGTGGCAAAGCTTCCAGGTGAGCAACAGCAACGGGGGCCCCGGAATCGTGGGCAGAGCGAGCCTGCTGCCACGGTTAGAACAGGGCTGGGGCTCTTGGGTGGGAGTTGCTCCCAATAACCTTTGAGCCTCTTGGTCCTTCACCCACAGTAAGCTGGAAAAAAAAATAAAAATAAAAACAAAAAAAACCCAACCAAACCCCCACCCTGGCCTGTTTTCCTGCCTGTGCCATTGCTTTCCATTTCTCTGGACCAAGCAAACTGGATGGGGCTGCGTTATGGTTGTTTACAAGCTGGAGCAGCTTCCAGTTGCCTGATTTTACGCGAGGTTTATTTATAGAAAGCAGAAGAGCTGGGCAAGGAGGGATGCGTATGGTTTTTTCCCAAGGGGAGGGGCTGTCCCGGTGCCGGCACAGCAACAACTGCAGTGACAGAATTGCGGTAACACAACACCTGTTGGAAGGAAGGTGACACAGAGGAGAGAAAGCAGGGCAGCAGAGGGAATCCAAGCACTGGGAGGGTTCCAGCAGGCTCTGTAAAGAGTAGAAGAGGTAACCCAGTGTCCCTGGGTCCTTCAGAGGTACAAGCTGAACTGTTTTGAAGCTGGAAGCCCCCAACTGCTGGCAGCTTTTAAATAGCGATGCTTTCATGTGGGTCTTGCTCTGCTCAGGACAGAGAGCGCTTTGATTTGTCCAAGCCCACTGTCTTGTGCTAGTTCTCAGCCAAGGACACCCAGGAGGAGCTGAGCTAAGGGGACTGTCCTCCTTTATGCTGTCACTTGCAACCCTCGGGGGAGCCCAGACTCCTGTTCTGTTCTCTCCTCCGTGCTGGGCGTTCACCTCTCCGCGGTGAGCTCTGTTCAGTAGGCTGGAGCCGGTGTGGGAGGGCGTGCGCTGTGCAGAGTGAGCTGGAGGGGGATTGAGCCAGCGAGAATTGGGCAGTGGGGGACCAGAGTGCTCCCGGAGAGGGTGTTCATGTCAGCGCTCTCCAAGGATTTACTAATATCTGTCTTACAGAGGCGTGGGGTGTAAGGTTTGTCTGGTTCTTGCCCAAAGGCTCCCATCCAGCGTCAGGTCCCGTGCGTGCCTACCGTGGGTGGTCCCAGGTCCAGGATGGCTCGGAGGAGTCCCATGCTTCGGCTCCTCTCGATGTGAAACCTCCTGGGACAGCAGTTCAGCACACACATCTGCAGAAATACCCGAAACGGGGTCACCTCCCCCGCAGCAATCACCCTGGCCCCCAGCCCACCTTTCCGAGGGCTGGGCAGGGGGTGAGGAGCCGCAGGCGCAGGGGGGTTGGTGCTGGAGCTCCTGGTGCTGACTGGGCGCTGGCACAGGGAGCAGTCCTAGGGCTGTTGGCTGGTGGCTTTGGGTGACCTCTGCTGACAGAGCGGGCGAACGGCCGCGGCAGAAGGTGTCGGAGGCAGAGCGTGGCTCTGGCTTTGCTTCAGCTCCTCGCTTGGGTGAAATCTCAGCAGAGATGTGCCCAGTACAGCCCTCGCCCGGGTCCTGCAGAACACCCCCGTTCCTGGCCCTTCTCCACCCCTCTCTAATGCTCTGCTCAGTGCTTTTCCCATCACACTTGTTTCTCAAAGGCAGCGCCACAAATATGTGGAGTGATCTCAGGAGGGAGCATTTCCCTGTGCACCAGCCAGTCTGTCAGGGCCCTGGTCCCACCTCTGACCTTCTGCAAACAGCTGAGAACAGAGGAGTGAACACACCTCCTCCCTCCTTGGACTTTCTCCCCTCTCATTCCACCTTTGTTGTTTTTTTTTTTCCCAGCACAGCTTTACTGTAAAGATTCTTGTTTACCCGTGGATCCAGTGTGTTATCTCAGTTCTTTAACAGGATTTTCTGAAACACAAAAACACTTTCCTTCAAGCTGTGCCTCCACAGGCACACGGGAATTTTGTCTTTCACCAGCAAAACACTTCTCTCTCTGCAGTTTCAGAGGGGAACTGGGAAAAGTGATGTCTCCATGGCTCAGCCCAGAGCCCCGCAGCCTCTCGGAAGGATGTGAAGCTGCTTTCCTGAGCCTTCCTGATGCGAGAGGCCGGGGAAATGGTGCCGCTGGCGTGCTGCAGCGAGGGGAGTGCACCGTGCACACAACGGAGGCATCGGCGTGAAAGGCCGAGAGGATGCTCTGCCGCCCGAGCAGAGAGGATTGCTGGAAGAAACAGTGGGACCTCGTGGTGCTTAGCACCTTGACAGGGCCACAGTGACTCCCCAAAGCATCCCCTGGAGATTTTCCCTCAAATGATTTATTTGGTCAAGCAGCAGATTATGAACCAGAACCCCGGTGTGCCATCTCCCAGCCCCACAGGTTGCATGCAGAAGCCCCAGAGGACACGCAGCGCAGTTTTCCCGATATCCCTGACTGCCCCTTTGCTAATTCTACAGGAAAGAACCAGAGGAACACAAATAAATTAATTAAAATTTATTTATAAATCCTTCTAGTGGCCTCAGAAAAATCAGGAAAATAATTTTCTCAGTTCCTTGAAAATAAGCACAAGGAAAACAGTCTCAGGAGATTGCAACCTCTTTTGTCCAACAAAAAATAAGGCAATTTTCTTCCGTGCTGCAGGAAAATGGCACCTTTTATCCACAGTGAGATAAGAATAGTCCCAGTCCCAGCAGAATCACTATAATCCCAGCTTTGAAACTAACTGAGTGTCTCTGGCCTTGGCTGACCTGCTGCATCTCTGCTCGTTCTACCTGGCTCCCTCCTCGCTGTCCGGGGGAGCTGGCGCGGCGGTTTCCACCTGCATCACGTTGTGGTTCCCAATCTGCACCATTCGAGCGTGTTGAATGATAAGCTGTGGGACGCTGCCGGGCCCTG